GCAAGAAAATTTACTCGGGTCAGTGGGGTATATTTACATATTTGTTGTAACCTGGTAATAAAAATTGTACATGGAAGTCACATTGATAAATTTAGAGATCCAGTGGTACAACTGTAAACATCAAAAGATTCTGAATTCTTTGAAATTTGTATAATTTACATATTTTATTATATATGACATAGATTGATCCAAGTCAGTGGTGCAGCAATAGAAAATACAAAAGATAAAGCGCACTCCTGTAGGGTGGACACACTTCAATCAGATGGCTGCTGTATATTGGTGTGCAAAGTTCCTCACTGCAGGGAGAGGACCCTGTCTATTACAACCACAAATCAAAACAAAAAAATCTAAGGAGCGCAACTACCAAGAGGTGTATTTGTGGACTTAATCTGGCGAAGGGCCCTGTGGATCGATGTGATAAGAACAGAATATCAGGAGCACTATTATTCTTGGAGTGTGAATGTCTATGGCAGTGTGACAGCAAAAGGACTTGCAATTCGGAGCTCCCCTGGTTTCTGTGCGGCAGTCTACTGGAACGGATCCTGGCTCGAAGGGATGTCTTCGGTGGTGTAGGTGGCAGATCCGGACTAGATGTAGAACCGTATGGCCGCCCACGTACTCGACTGGCCAGGCCGAGCCGCGTCGGTCAGGAACGGAGAAGAAAGGGGGAGGAGCTACAAGCGGCTGTGGGACACTGTGCGCCGTATGTCACTGGTTACAGTCGGGCTCCTGTCACAGGGGGGTCTCAGCAGTAGAGACTCCAAAAGGGGTCTCTACTGATGAAGGGGTACTGCTGAGACCCCGAAAGCATTTGTATTGAATGCGATTTGTCATTAAAGGACTTCTTGCTTCGAAACCTTTTGGTGTGCTGGTGACAATCTTTACTATACTCACTTAAGGGCCACACATAATATTCAGTAAAAGGAATTCAACAAAGAGCGGTCAAACACACGCATTGAGTAAAAGGTCAAAGACTACAGATGTGCTTTAGATTGTCAAAGGGTATACAAGAGATAGTCAGAGACTGCACACATGCTTCAGAATATGGTCAGAGACTGCAGACAAGCTGCAATAGATGATCGGACACTGTGCTGCATGCTATACAAGTTTTTTAGGGACTGGGAACAGTTGTAAACACCACAAGATATAGTCAGAGACTGCAATAATGCTGCAGAAGATAGTAAGAGACTGCAGATATGCTACAAGAAATGATCAAAGAATGTGAAACATTTTTACAGAATGTAAACTGTTATGACTAAAAATCGCATTACATGAGACTTCTAAATATTACGGTTTTTACACATCCCTTACAAATGAATGTCTACATTTGGGTTTCCTACAGGCACCTAAAATTACTTGGTTTTCCATTAGAGATTTCTCGCAGCAAAATTCATTATACAAGATTAGAAGGAAAAAAACAGCAGCACAGAAAGAAGAAAGATAATGTGAAGGAAATAAACCAAGTCATTTAACTAATAGAAGCTTGTCTAAAAATGATTTTCCCCACACCCTTATCAAAGACAACACAGACTACTGTCGGCAGGTGGCTGGGGGCCCCATAGTAACCGGCAAAGGACCTCATATAGCCCCCCAGCCACAGGTTGGACACCAGGGATCTAATGGATGGGTCCACAGTAGGGTATACAGTACATGAGAATTACTTACAAGTCCCAGAGGTACATATTTGATGCCTGTAGGCAGAATATTTTTGCATACAAGAAGGGCCAAAATACCTACTGCCTTCTAATCAGCAGCAACAGAAAACATTCTGCTGGGGTTATGTACGATTAAAGGGGTTCTACTTGTAAATAATTTTACAGCTGACATAGTCAAAATACATGGTATTGTAGAATCTGTGTGTGTGTGTGTGTGTGTGTGTGTGTGTGTGTGTGTGTGTGTTGTTGTGGCATTGTAATGACATACATGAAGATTATTTCACATTTGGGGTCATTTAAATCCAGAAGAGTTATCACTCTCAATTGGTTTTTTTTGTTTTTTGTTTTTTACAGTTGTGTAAATGAATGAATTTATAGACATGTATTCTGACCAAACAAGTATAGAAACTGTTTCAACACTCAAAAACACATACATACACACTAATCATATAAAAGACAAAAAGTCAGAGTTTCCAAAGTATGGTGGATGCTTATAATTTTAGCTAGACAAAGCAGGAAGGCAAGCAAGAAAAAGCAAAAAAATAAATTTAACTGAAAGCTCGTTCTGAATACTACCCAACTATCCTGTGGACACATTTCTGGAAACATTTCTGTTATGTTGCTCCTCTGCAGGAGGCAAGAAGTAGACACAGAACTACAGCATGTATGAGGACATTATACACATGAATCAATTAAATGAAGTACATTTGCAAGGGCATGTAGATTACCCAAAATGTAGGGATTTTATGTTGTAATTTTCCATATTTGAACATGTGTCCTTAATTCCTTATTAAAAAGTAGTAAAGAACAGTTCAGACTCAAAATGTTAATTTACACATTTCCATTAACCATAGGGATTGCCAACAGAGCAGAGTGCCGTCTGAGCAAACACTAATTAACAAGTTGAGCTTCAGGGACTTTTCAGCTATAGGTCTATTAATTCAGCAATATCTTTGTTATTACCTATGATACAGAAGTGAGACATACATTGAAGACATTTCTATTTGAATTGAATTTTAAATTATATATATATATATTTTTTTTCTATATATAGATATATATCTATAGATATATATATGTTAAAAAGAACCATAAATAGTAAAAATCACAGTGCTAACTTTATTCTGCTATTGCTCCTGTTTATTTTCCACGATTCAGGATTTGTGAAGTTAACAACTGGCAATCTTTTGGGCCAAAAGGCTTGCAGATTTGCCTCAAAACATAAATATTAACCTATAAGTTAGTGTATAGCCTTTGTCCTGTTCATTCAGCTAAGTCACAAGAGCTAATAATTTAAAAGGAATAGATAACTCAGCCTCCTTTCCATGAAAGATGGGGTCACAGCAGCCATACTATTAGTGTGTGTTGGAGTTGTAAGGTTGAGCTAACAGCACTGTACGTGGAGAGATACTTTTAATTTTATATTTGGCATTGGTACATGGCAGTGCCCATCTTTCTATGCATTTTGTTTGGCCAGAATTGAACACCAAGATCCACCACTCACCCCCCTGACTTCAATAGGGTTTGCAACAAAGTTTGCAAACTTCGAATGAGAAATGCAAATCGTTTTACAAAGTGAACACAGGCAGATTCGCAATTTCTAAGTTTTCAAAATTTTTGTAAGTTTACAAACCGCCTTTGCAAGTTTGACCAATGTCACTTGTTCCAAGTACTAAATCATGAGGTTTTTGGAAGGAACTAAAAGGATTCTATTTTTGTTTAATATGATTACACAGCTAACAATTTGAAGATAAAGTTTTTTCCTCAATGAGAGATTAATGAGCAACAGCTTAGGCTTCTAAAAAGGTGAATGGAGATGAGATGTAGGTATTTGGTTTATAGGTAGTAGATTATTTAGAGCCTTGGTTCTCAACTGGTGGTTTGTGACCCAAAAGTGGGTCACGACCCCGTGTTCAGTGGGTCGCCGTGTGCCTTCCACTGTGCTAGGTGAGAGGCTCCTCCTGTCAGTTCCCTCGCCAAGCAGCAATTCAAAATATGCTGCCCGGTGCAGAGTATCTGCTTGAGGTGGGATGGACTGGGGCTTTGGCTGTGAGGGAGCTCCATCCATAGATACAATTCCCCCCCCCGTGTCCTGTAGAGGTGCCAGGACTCTACAGGGCATGCAAGGGAGTTATTTAAGCATTGCATTTATGGATGGAGCTCAATCATAGCACAGCAGCTCACACTGGACCCCAGGCTGAGGATCAACTTCAGCTCTCGTACGATATTGAGACTGAGTGGATCTTTTGAACGGCATTCCAAATGCACCTCCCACCCACAGTTCAATCGCCCGCACCGGAACACGCTGTACTGCAATGCTGTGCATTCCATTGCCGTGCGACTTGGGTCACGACTTACTGACCAAGGACAAATATGGATCCTGAGGTTACACAGGTTGAGAACCGCATGAGACACATACATTTATCATTTGCCCTAATAAAACAAATCTCTTCTGTTTTATAACAAGAGGAGAAATGACAAATTCTCATAAATATGGCCATGTAAGCTTTACTACCTTCAGTTGGGAGCAGTTTACCACTATGTTTTAATTTAAAAGAGATCTATGGGGTAACCTTTTTATCCAACAGTTCCCTTTATGGTCATGGGAGGACATATACTAATGTCCTCCAGTGACCCAAAGCTCAGTATATGGTGGGCTATTACCCGTTATATACTAAGAGCACCGCAGCCGGGACGGATCCCGACAATACTGTCGAGATCCACCCAGCTGGCTGATTGACAGCGGGCTCTGCCTATCTAGAGGCAGAACCAGCTGTGCCCGCCTTCTCCCCGTCTGTTCCTCCAGTCAACGCTGAAGGATCGGAGAGGGGAGGGGGGGATTTCCTGCAGGGACATGATCGGGAAGCAAGCAAGTGATGGTATATGTTCGCTCACTTCCCGATCTAGAGAGACGACGTGTGACAGTTTCAATGTCACACGTCGGCTCTAACTATGAGGATGAGTGTAAATCACTCATAGTTCTCCTTTAACTCCAGCCAAAACTTTTTTATCCTTTAATTTTGGATGGAGTGGGGAAGAATTAGAACCCAAGTTCCCCTCACTTCCTGTTAAATCCCTAAGATTTCCAAATGGAGACTGACAGCAATTACAACCAGCCGGAGGTTGTAAACCTTAACCAATCATTTATTTTAAAAAAAAGTGTTGACTGGAGTTTAACTTTACATTAGGACTTGTGCAATGAGATATATTTGCTTTTTGGAATATCTGAAAAGGCAATCAGAAAAGCAATGATCCTACGCAAACCATAGTCACTCACAGCAATACGTCAGATTTAATGTTTTATAGACTGTTCAATTTGCAATAAATATATATAAAAATACTCACTTCAGTGTCGTTTGTTTGAGGCTGATAAATTACGAAATGTGTTGTGGCAGGGAAGTTGTCCAATTTTAGTGTTACACTCTACAAAATAAAGAAAGCAATATAGTAGATAAAGGAGAATTAAAGCACAAACAATCCTCAGTTAAAAGTACCTGTTATGTGCACAAAATATCTAAAAATAAAAATTGGTGTAGACTTACACTGGGGGTCCTCCGCTTTCTTGGGCTACTCTAAACTTCAGCATGCTGATGTATATTTAAGTAGGAAAGGGCTACCTACAATGGAAGCCTGTTCACAATATATTTATGCTAAAGATGCGTCTCATATTGGGAGCTCACATTATTTAGGGACCAACTTTGCAGAGGTGCCTTGGAATGGCAATGTAGCGTCCCATATATTTGTAATAACCTCAACGTTAATTGGGATTTCAGTAATGAATATCTGGATTAAGAGCGGAGGATTTTTTTTCCAGATGTTTGCTTAACTGTGTCAGTAGCACTAACTGACCAGGAATTCAAAAAAGTTTCCCCATCATCACTGTACTATATTCTGACACTCCTAGAGTAAAAAGGAGGAAAATAATTCCTGAAGTACAGCCACATCTGCAATTAATGAATTCGACAGTGCGAAAAAATGTCTTCTTGCCTAATAACTATGTCCTGTCCATTCATCAATCACCTACACTCTTACAATGATGCAGCAGCCATTTGCAAAATATCATAGTATGTTTTCCCTGTGAAACTGCTGTGTGAGAGCAGAAGTATAAGAGCTGCTGAAAAAAAGCACATTAGTGTGAACAGATTAAAGGGATGAATACATATTTATTTTAGTGATGCATAAGTACTTTTTACACATGACTTGCAAAGCTCTTAAATCCAAAATTCGGCCAAAATTTCGGTGCATCCCTACTAATCAAGTTAATTGGTAACAGGTAACATGGTAACATGATTAGGTATAAAAAGAGCATCTTAGAGAGTCAGAGTGTCTCAGAAGTAAAGATGGGCAGAGGTTCACTAATCTGTAAAAGACTGCATCTAAAAATTGTCGAACAATTGCAGAATAATGCTCTTCAACGTAAAATTGCAAAGACTTGAAATATTTGTAATCATCTACCAGTACATCATTTCATCAAAAGATTCAAAGAATCTGGAGAAATCTCTGCACGCAAGGATCAAGGCTGGAATGCAATATTGGATACCAGTGATCTTCGGGCCCTCAGATAGCACTGCATTAAAAAAACAGGCATGATTCTGTGATGTACATCACTGCATGGACTCAGGAATACGTCCACAAATCACTGTCTGTGAACACAGTTAGCCATGCCATCCAAAAATGCAAGTTACAGCTCTATCATGATCCAGAAACACGGTCGTCTTCTCTGGGCTGAAGCTCATTTAAAATGGTCTGTTGCAAAAGGGAAAACTGTTCTGTGGTCAGACAAATCGAAATGTGAAATTTTTTTGTCAAATCAATTGAAAATATTTGGTGCATCTTGAAACGAAAAATACAACAAAGACGACCCAGGACTGTTGAGCAGTTAGAATCCTATACCAGGTCAGAATGGGACAACATTCCTCTCCCAAAACTCCAGCAACTGGTCTCCTCAGTTCTCAGACGTTTACAGTGGTGTTAAAAGAGGAGGGGTTTGATGTTTAAATACATGCTGTTCGTAATGTCCTGTACTCTTCACTTGTACTGTAAGTCAGGGCTCGACAAATCCCAGGCACCAGGTCACCATGGCAACTAAAAATTGCATTGTGGCGTCTGGGCTTTTGTCAGCCTGTTCACTGTCCCCCGCTGCGGCCTCTACCTCCTCTCCCATCCTCTTCCCCGCTGGGTGATGGCTGCAGCGGTGCAGCATAAAATGGACCCACTATCAACATTCACAAACCAGTGTCGTACATTTGCCAATATAACATTAAAAGGCACAAAAGTTTAATTCAGCTTAGGCAGAAATGCCAACAACATATTGTTCACACTCTGTGGGTTGCAGCATGACCCCAAGGTCAACCTGTTCAAGAAAGCTTTTCTACTTCACTTACACTTGCTCTTTGTTCACACGTTAACTATGAGTTATATTTATGTTTTTCCTCAAATTAATGCATAATTAGTTGTATTATACTAGGTGCAACCTATCCTCCATTACCTAAACATTTCAGAACTACTGCTATCAGATTTACTGTGTCTAAACTTTAATCGTGAACGTTCTTAGCCTTACCTTTGCTGAAGGTAGTAATTCTGTTTTCCATGACAAGTCTTCAATTGTCAAACTAAAAATAAATAAGGTTTTGAAAATAAGAAAATGAAAATTTCAAAATCACTAAACACTAAAAATATCACTTGAGCAAGCCTACCACCAGTCAAAACTTCTGTGTTTTAGTTTTTGGTCGAGTGTCAATGCATTTTAACCTCTGTCAGTTTATTTGTTTATTTACACACCTTTTGTAATATAGGTTATTTACACACCTTTTGTAATATAAGTTAACCTATTCCATGCAGGTCTTGTACTTCCCACATATCAGTCCCCCAAAATAAAACTTCTGGATCAAGGTTAGAAAAAAAAAAAAGTCAAGCAAAAAAAGGGGAAATGCTACAACCAAGAGGAGGACACCGAGGATCAACTTGATGTTCCAGAGCAGGACAAATGGTTACAGCTAAGGAACGATGGGTTTCGACCAGGGAAGACTGAAGGACCAAGTAAAAATGGTGGAAAAGACACACTACCTGAACAGAAGAAAACAGACCAACAACTGATGTGCAACAAATTGTACTGGGCAAAGTCCCAGGAAAAAAAGATACCAAAAGGGGAATTTGGATTGATGTACCATGTCCAAAGAAAAACCAGCAAGTCAACAGCAAAATACTTGAGTCAGCATTTCTAACCCTTGACCTCAGGGAAAGGAAATTTGATACAGTGATAGCATAACTAGAAGAAAAACCAGTTGGTCAAGCACAGAAGGTTTAGGTCTAGTATTCCTAACTCTTGTATTTAGGGAAAGCTAAGAGAATGATAAGAAAGAAGTTACTTGAATAGGCATCCTATCTAGCAACAACATACTGTAACTATGGGACCTATCTAAAAGTAACTCCCAGTGACCAGCAAAGTCCAACAAAGTCCTTTGGACTTACATTATCCACCATAGGGAAAATCAAAAGCAGTGCCTCATTGAGTCCTGCTAGCTGACCATCCAAGAAAATACAGGACCCACCAGCAATGAATACTTCCCTTCAAGCCCCCGACCCCTCCCCCATTGTAGATATCATCCCTTGAGGAGATCCTCAAGGCCATACCGTTGTTCTAGTAAAAACAGTGCTGTCCAATATAGGAAGCATGTTATTCAAACTATTGCAGGGAGAGTTCCCTAACCTTCTGGAGGTGAAGGTTTTGCAGCATACAGATCATGTCCAGCAAAGGTCAGATCAAAACATCGAGCCACAGTAGAATCTCCCAATGATTTTGTTTGTTGCAGAGAACCTAAGTCAAGGCCCAGATAAGAGGATATGCCTGTTAAAAAGGGATCCTTCCAGGGCGTGGGGGAAGGAAACATCCCATCCCGCATTCCAAAGGAAAGAGGTCAAAAGGTTCACAGATATTGGACTCCTGTAGCAAAGATTTATGCTGAAGAGCCACACGTGATGGTGACCAGTGCTAGACGCCTAGCAAATTGGATCTAGATATAGATTGCAGATGACAGGATTCTCAGAATGGTTTAGGCTGCAAGCATCTAGGAAACTGAACTTTTAAGAAGGGTCTTCTGAGGGTTCCACAATGGGCATGATGGAAAAAGTTACTAGGATAAACATATGGACCAGTGCTGTGAGCAAGGTCCAAGACTACTGGAAGATGCTGAAGGGTCATGTTCTTACCATGAAAGGGAGCAGTAGGGACTGAACCCCTGTGAGTGGAGGAGAGAGATCCTGTCATTCATCTGCCTATCTTTCACTCACAAAATGCTTTACACTCTGTGAATAATCAGTGAATAATCAGGGAAGGCAAGGGAAGGGTAAGCGGTGCCCAATTGTTTTACTAACAGCAGAAGCAGTTAACTCATACAGTGTCAGAAGTTCACTGCTGTGAGGAGTATACAGCATCACTGAAGGAAGAATTTATACAGGGACTGGTAGCAGGACATAGGATACATGTCATTAGAAGTAAATTATGCCCCTTCTGCTATATAACAAATATTTGCAACTAAACTTCAGCTTTAAACTAAATCATGCAAGCTGTAATTAAGACTAAAACAACCTACCATTTCGTTGAACCTTCTTCGCAGGCAAAAATCCAACTGTGAGTGTACTGTAAAAAGAAAAAAAGTACTTATATTTTTTGTTTCATTGGTTCATCTTTGGGATGTTAGGAGCAGAAAGTCAACACTTTATTTTATAAAGATGCTGCATCCTAGGCCTGCATTCTAAACAGTGTGTTTCAAAATTCTGCCATGTAAATGACACATCCTCTTATCCGATTTCCTATTATAAAAAAAAAAAGTTACCAAGTGCGATTATGAGGTCTATGTATATTAAATTTGCATAGCTTATTAATCCAGCAAAACTGCACGCACATTCTTTCCGTGCACATTAACCAGGTCTTGTGAGAATGGTGCAAAAAATGCTCTTAGTATAAATTATCTTCTTGTCAAATTTTCTTCAATAGGTTAATTCCTACAGAACAGAGTGAATTGGAAAAATACCATATTATGGCCATTATGGAGCCGAGGATTATAAGAATTAGAATACATGTTAGTAACGAGATACATTTCAAGAGAATGCTAGATATGCATGAACATATAAATCTAACCACTGCTGTCCTCATACAATCAATGGTTATATTTATATTCCCTCCAGTGGTTTCTTGAATTGCAACACTGGATCTCTGTTACGAAGATGTATTTATTTCCTATAATCCTCAGCTCCATCTTGTGGCCATAATGCAATATTCTTTCCAATGCACCCTGTTCTGTATGAATATACCTATTTAACAATTCACCAGAAGAGAAGTTACACTTCATGTTCATTTGTGCTGTAACAACTGCTGGTTAACTTACACAGATCAAATTTCCATGCTATTTTGCTGGACAAACAAGCTACACACATTTTTTTATAAATAGACTCCTTAGTGTGTGAAATTGGGAGAATCATGCAAGAATAATGTATTTCTGTGTACTTAAAATTGCCCGAATATGTGCAGTCCTGCAGGATCTGTGTTGAAAAGAGACTCATATCTATGTCTTGTAGCAGACAGCCTATGGAATTTAAAGATTGACAGTGTTGGAATAGTAAACAAAGTAGAAGAATGTAGGTCACCAGCACTCAAAAATAATTCAAAAATGAATAAGTCCTTTTTATTGGACAATTGTGTCACGACAATCAAAGAGCCGACGTTTCGGGGCCACGCAAGGGTGAGGTGACAACCCTCATTTATGGTATATAGGCACCTAACCTGCCATAACATTAAGCAATAAGCATAAGATGTGACCCATCTTTTGCCTTGAAAAAGGGACCCTGCGTGGCCCCGAAACGTTGGCTCTTTGATTGTCGTGACACAATTGTCCAATAAAAAGGACTTATTCATTTTTGAATTATTTTTGAGTGCTGGTTGGCAGGTTAGGTGCCTATATACCATAAATGAGGGTTGTCACCTCACCCTTGCGTGGCCCCGAAACGTCGGCTCTTTGATTGTCGTGACACAATTGTCCAATAAAAAGGACTTATTCATTTTTGAGTGCTGGTGACCTACATTCTTCTACTTTGTGTTTTGCACGGTGCCATCCGTGATAGTTACTGCGAGCACTACCTTTGTTAATTGGCCGGGACTGCTGAAAGGTGTGCGGAGAGCACCCCCACCAACTGGAATAGTAAACATGGCATGTTTTCTGAGGTGACAACCCTCATTTATGGTATATAGGCACCTAACCTGCCATAACATTAAGCAAGTATGAAAAACCTTAAGAAAAGAACGTTGCTTTATAAAAGGTTGTACACATGGTGGTCCCGTATGCAGGTCCACATTAACATCTTTGCCACTGCCAAGAACTGCAGCCTACGGTCCAGCTCATGCAGTGCAACAAAAATACTGTATAATGTTTGATTTATCCAGCTTTTGCCTTAGTACATTTATTTATTCAGCGAAAATTTTAGGTACATGTGGCAGACTTTCGAAAAACACACTAACCATCTCATTATTATGACAGGTTACAAAACTTTTCTTGAATAAAGTAACTAAAATCTGATCAGTTGCTGCGTTTGCTGTATCTGTCAAATCTGTTGCAACTAGTCTAACCATCTTCACAGCCTAGTAATTATATGCACATTTTAAATCCTTCCCATATTACACACAATTTTGTTACCAAACACCATACTGGCCCATAGACCAACCAAAGTTGGATGTGCAAAAATAAATACAATATACCAATACTGGGGCTAGGGTGGATCAAATCGACAAAAAAATGTAATCAATATAAGACTGAAGGTCATCTAGGAGTGCAAAAGAATGAACTACCCTTAATAAATCACCAAATATTTTAAACAATGCCCCATACAGAGGGATACATACTGGATGGCCTAAAATAAATAAGATAAACTATAAATGTTGAAAAATAAAATTACATTATCAACTCTATAAAAAAAAATGAAATAAGAAAAAACATTTTTCAAAAATACACATAAAACACCAAAGACCCAACTGGTAAACTATTTAAAACACACAAGTGACACCAATCTCCTCCAGGACGCCCATAACCGGGATGGAACATGTGCACTAATTAATATATCTCCGGCAAATCTAACTATAGATCCCAAAGTCGGCCATAATCAGCTTATAGTCATTTTTAGGATTGAATATATCCTGAAGGCTAATGAACAATGCCAGTGCCCAGGTTGTATAGAATGATACAATAATGGAGCTGTGGTGTTTTGATTCAATTATGGATCACAGTCTGAACTTTTATCAAGAACTGAATAAGGAGTTTCTGTTTGCATGTTTCTAATTTTTCCCTTAAGCTTCAGGTCATTTCTATCCGAAAACAGCAGCTTCTGCATACTTAACTATTAGGCCTCATTCACACTGCCATATAATACGATGCACATAAAGTTTTTTTCCCATATGCAGCAATGGCAAATAAATGGCTCCATAAACACAGCTGTGTATGGAGCCGTATTCTTGCGCTGCGTAATGATGCGCAAAAACAATTGGAACCGAGATGCGCCCGGGCTCGGAATTTCTGCGTATTTTACGCGCATGTGCACATATGTGCGTGTACAGTACATTAAAGTTTCTAGTAAAAATGGTGCATTCTGGGATTGCAAACAGTTCACGCATATACATAGTTGCATAGTATTTGAGGTTGAATAAAGACACAGGTCCATCGACTTCAACCTTTATGAGTAAGTGTGTGTAGTGCGTGCATGTGTGTATACGAGTACCTGTGTGGTCCAAGGTTTTTAAGAGTACCTGTAGCCCTGTAAAGATATCTAATTGTTTTTTGAATGATTCAATAGTCTCTGCTCGTACCACTGCTTGTGGCAGAGGGTTCCAGACTTTAAAATCGCTCTAACTGAAAAGCCCTTACATCCTTTCTGGTTAAATCTTTTCTCCATCAATTTTAGGTGGTGGCCTCTAGTCCTTGTTAAGGAATTTACTGTAAAAAGTTTAGTGCCGATGTTGCCATCACCACTAAACATTTTGTACATTAAAATAAATGTCCCCTCTTAATCGCCTCAATTCAAGCGTGACCAAAGTCCAAATTTAGCAATGTCTCATAGCTTTGATCCTCCAGCCCCTTAATGAGTTTCCGGACTCTCTCCAGCTCTAGGACATCCTTTCTGTGGATTGGTGATCAAAACTGAACCGCATACTCAAGGTGAGGCCGAACCATTGATCTCTTAAGTGGCAAAATTATCGCTTTGTCTCTACAGTACATTCCCTTTTTAATACAAGACAGCACTCTGCTCGCTTTGTTTGCTGCAGCCTGGCATTGCAAGCTATTATTCAATCAGTGGTCTACTATGACCCCCAAATCTTTTTCCATTTTTGACTTATCTAGTGGAGTTCCCATTAATGTGTATTCATACACGCATTTGCAAATATGCGTACAATTTTGCTCTTGCGTTGTGTGTGAATGAGGCCTTATGAAACACTATACAATTACTAATGAAATATTATTGAGGTCAATGAACTGAAAAATACTATAACCTAATTTGATCAGATCCTGGAATCTATCGTTAGATATGTTGGAGACATATTAGTTCACATGTTCCATCCCAGTTATGGGCATCTCTGAGGGGATTGGTGTCATTTTTGTTTTTAAATGCTTTTAACTATTTGGGTAGTTGGTCTTTGAGCATTTTTTTGTATATTTAAAAAATATTTTTCCTTTTTTTTTTTTACTACAGTAGATAATACATTTGATTTTTTTACATTCATAGTATTATTTATTTTAGGCCATTTGGTATATATCCCTTTGTGTGGGGTTTTGTTTAAGGTATTTGGTGATACAAATATAAATATTAGAAAATGAACTGAAAACCAAAAGAACTTGTATTCTTATTTTTGACATGCAGACATACTTTGCATTCCATGTCCTAAAAGCGTAGTCTGAGAGCTGTGGTAGCAGGCTTATCTCTGCACTGTGAATATAGAACAAAGGGAAATCTGTAAAAATGTTAACCTAAAGCTGGCCACAGACATTGGTGAACGGTTGGATGGGCATGCATGGTTGAACCGTCTCACAATGAGTTTTGGCCCAACTTCTACCCTAAAACAGGAGCGCTCTAGTTGCACACTTTTTAGGAAATGGAAGGGGAGATGCGTCAGAAAGTCCCAACATCAACAGTGATCAGACAAGGTTTTGGAACCTGTCAAATTGTGTTTTTATTCAGGGCTATCCCGCATACAACAGTTTGTCAGCTAAGCTAGTCGAAAATGGGCAAATCTGGTGATTGTCATCTAACACCTCTAGTGACCTTTTCCTAAGCCATCTTGTCAGGCAGAAGTGTTTTTAAGTTATTTGTAACCCAAGCCACATTCAATTCAGTCTCCTCCAGTGACTGGATTGAACAAATAAATATTTCTTGAATTTCCAGCAAAGGGCACTATGATGTTCTTATAAAATACATGCTTTCCTTGTCCCCCTCAGCTATTATTAGATGCCTGAATGAAATTAAAACATAAAACAGACTGGACTTTTAACAAAAATAAACTACTAAATCCTTACCAAGTGTGTGCTTCGGCAATGAAAATGACTATGAATGATTCTTTTATCTAGAAGAGGAAAGGCGAAATAGGTTTCACTGCATGCCTGTTAGTAGAGAAAACAGGTAAAGACTAGCATTAGCATTCAGCTATAAATGAAAAGCATACTGTAGTAGCATGACCATTAATGGCTCCATAATAGCAAGAAAATACTGTATTTTTACTGTAGAAAGCACAATCTTTTTGGTAGCTGCACTGTGGAAATAACCGTGTTATGAGTGCCCAGGGACGGATTTACTCTCCCTGCTGCTCCAAGGCCAGGTTCCACAATGCACCCCCCTCCCCA